GGTTCGCTCACTGGCTGAGCGTGGTGCTGACAACACCAAGTCAAGGGTTAAGATCCCCTTACCGGTCATCTTTAAAAAAAAAAAAAAAAAAGAGTGCACAGATACAGAACATTTGGAAGAGTACCTGGAACCCAGTCCCTGTGAATACTGGCTGCTCATACCCCCACTCCCCACCATAAAGCAAGAAGAAAGCCCCCTCCAATGGCAACCCCACCACCACCTCAGGTCAGAGTGCAGCTCCTGCCTGCCCCTGCCCCACCTCCCAGCTGCACCTGGCATTGCCCACCCGCACCTTTGGCCTTGCCCCGCTTGTCACCTCAGCCAGACTGGGCATCCCCAGGATCTACAGTTTCTTGGCCTTCCAGAGAAGGGAGCATGCTGGGGAGAATGGCAGCTCCTCTCTTCTCCCTGTTTTGGGAAAGAAATATCCCTGGAGCCTAGATCTACTCCTTGGGCAGAGGTCAGTAAAGTGGAAGGAAAGTATTGGACCACATTGGATTTTTAACCCAATGGGGGCCATGGCTGTGTGCCCAGCAGGGCCCCAGCAAGCCACCAAGGGCGTTGACACTCCCTTAGGTGAATTTAACTTGCTCTACTCAACAAGGACAAATTTCTGAAAATGTGCACACCATGTGTTTGCATATGGCGTATCACACTTGCTATAGTCTGAAAGTTTGTCCCCTCCAAAGCTCATGTGGGAGCTTGATCCCCAATGTGGCAGTGTTGAAAGGTGGGAGCTTTAGGAGGTGATTGGATCATGAGTACTATGCTCTCATGAATGGATTAATCCATTCATAAGTTAATGGGTTAATGGGTTATCATGGGTGTAGACAGGTGGCTTTATAAGGAGAGCAAGTGAGCACATTAACTGGGTTCTTCTCAGCCCTCGCCATGTGATACCCTGGTCTCCATGAGACTGTAGAGAGAGCCCACCACGAAAAGGGCCCTCACAAGATGCACCCCTAAGATGTCGGACTTCCCAGCCTCCAAATCTATAATAAATTTCATTTTCTTATAAATTACCCAGTTTCAGGTATTCTGTTATGAGCGACAGAAAAACAAACTAATATAACCCTTGAACCTAGTTTTAAGAAGGTGCACTTAAGGGCAAAAATTTTTATGAAGTAATAAAGTGGCCTACGTGTGGGGAGTCATAGTCATAGCTCACAGTCTTATCTCAAACTCCGCTCCCCACCCAGCTCCTCCCAGAAATAAATCCCCTGAAGGCCAGGGATTGGCCCCTCCCAGGAGGATGAGCCAGGGCCTCTTCCACCTGCACCTGGTCCTGGTGGGACTCAGGAAAGGAGTGGCCTGCCATTGCAGTACTCTCTGGGGCTGCTTCTCCAGTGCCCGGGGCCTCAGACTTAGGAGCCTGGGTTCTAGAGTCAGGGACAATGATCACCTCCAACACGAGCCCCTTCCTGTGCAGATGGGAATCGGGGACCTCACCCCCGGTTACTGTCCCCCAGGCTCAAGCCCATCTCACCCTCCTTCCCATCTCTTTCCAAAACCTGATCTGGGATGAGTTTTTGGCTTCCTCTGGTGTCTTCTGAACCAGACATCCACTCTCTAAGTGGACTGGGCTTTCAGAGAAAGTGACAGGTCCAGGAAGCTGTGGGCACCTTCCTGGGACAACTGTGTACTTTGCACTAGAGATAGGGAGATGTTGCAAAATAATATCCTCCAATTCACATCAACATAGGGAGATGATAACATAACGACACGCCTGCTGTAGCTCAAAGCTCAAGAAGTCAAATAAATGGGTCTTCTCTCCCATTTACCTGCCCCCGGGAGAGTAGGACAAAGCAATTGGCTAAATTAAGAGTTTCTTTGGGTAAAGACAATGCTTCTGTTTCTCATTCATGTTTTCAAGCTTGCATTAAACACTTACTGTATGTCAGGTCTGTATCAATGATCCATAATTCTAGGTTCAAGGAGCTGAAATCCTATAAGGGAGGCAGATCATGAATAGATCATTATAATGCCATACGTATGTGTGTGTCTATACGCATGTATAATTAATCATGGTATATATCATGTTAAATAGAACTATATGAGCAAGCTTTACATGAACGCAGAAAGTGGAACAAGAAAATTCCTAGTGGAGTGGGAGGTGTAGTAATTAATTCAGGTTTTGAGGGACGAATAGAAGTTTTTCTTGGGTTGCACAAAGGTTGGGGAGGCCATTCCTCATCAAGAGCACAGCAAGCACTTCTAATCTCCCCTTCTAGGCAGCCTCTGCACCAGGAAGGTAGGCAGAGAAGGGTCTAGTGTTCAGAGAGAGTTGGGAGGGGTGGGAGGGCAGCAAAGGAGGCTGCAGAGGCCCCATCCTAGGAGGGCAAGGCCAAGTGGGTTCCAGTATGGGGAGTCTTTGAAGGACGGTCCACCTGAGGACTATTTAGGGGCAGGGAGGCTATTAAGGATGGAGGGGAATACGAATCCAAGGGGCCATAAGAAGCTGGAGAAAGTAGAAGCAGGATTGGAGATGGTGGGACAGGTTTAAGAGTTGGTTAATTAGGATTTAAATGTAACTTGGTAAAAATAATAATAATGAATAAAATAAAATGTAACTCGGAGGGGGAGGCAGGGAAAGAGGGAATTTCATGCCGTTTCTCTCCCCAGTGCCTCACTCTGTGCCTGGCACATACGCACTCAGTCCATGGAGGAAGGTAGTGGCGGGTGGCTTGAGCATCTGGGCTGGGCAGCGCTGGGCACAAGAAGCTGCAGGGACCCCGAATATGCAGCAGGAGTTTCCCACTCTCCAGCAATGCCCAGGGCAGAGAGAATTCAAACACAAATGGCCACCTCAGGGTGGCTTCAAAACAACGTTCTCCTGAGTGCAGAGCCACCTGCAAGAGCAGCCCAGGCTGCGGGCTACACGCCGGCATAGCTGGTGACGGGTTTGCAGGAAGAGGAGAGTGGCTGCAAATGAGTGAGGATGATACCCCTGTGCACACACGCTGCCCCTGCCCCTGCCCCCCAGCCGTGTGCCCACCACCTGCCGTCTTGCTTTTCCCTCTCCGCCTGCTCTACCAGGGCCCCATCTGAGAGCTTGCCCCAGATTTTGCCAATTTCGTACTGTAATAGCCAGTAAGGCCCTTCCAA